CGCCAGCGACTGCATACGGATGCGATGAGCATTAACTGCTGCATCTGCCAAGGCTGGAGGAGTGAATTTATCTGCATTGAAATGCCAACGCGGAAGCAATTACCACGGTGTAGTACCTCCTTGTGAAGGCAATTTATTCTGGAACCTTTAATCCTCGTAAGAAGGTCATCTGAGAGTCGATTAATGTGTGCGAGACGCTCCATCTGAACTTCACGGATCGACAGCAAGGACTGCTAAGAAATGTATGAGGATTGAAACAAGATTTCCTTCCCAAGGGATAAACTGACAAGGGACTACGAAAGTCTGCTCATATACGGATCTCACAATCTCAGCTCCTCATTCATTCTATACTAAAGATTTGAAAAACACGCAGCACATTCGCTTTCTGATCTGCGGTCTGGAGGTAAGCAAGTACGCGCCGTGCTTGTGTTGCAGGAAGAGCTGCGGATATTAGGGAGCTCCTTAGAAATTGTCGAAGCTGGGGAGATGGTGGCTGATGTGTTTTCCTACTCTCGAGGTCGCTCATGGCTAGACCTGACGAAGCAGCAAACGAGAGCCAGTCTTGGCTAGATGGGATTCCCTTCAGTGAGCCCAACCTGGGCTCTAGGTGACTGGATTACACGCTGGACGCAAGGCTACGGGAATCTCACTCTGAATCCGGGGACCCCCCACATATAGCCTTGAAAGTACAAGGTTTGGTTAGACGTACCCTTTTCATGATTCGGACAATTTCGAGATTTAGCTCTTCAAGCGAGGGTGGTGACTTTGTTCTCTCAAGCCTCGATTTAAGCACAGCACCTCGCTTCGATTAGCTAGCCCCCTCAGCGCGTCGAGGTGAAATCCTTGTGACTTGAAACTCTACCCAACCGTTCTGGATTCTTGATGAACCGACCGCAACCACGCAAAACATCTCATCAGACCACAATAAGGAACCACAGAACTGTAATTTATTGCTTCAGTCCCTCGTCAGAAGCTGGCTAACCGTTCGAACAGCCGTTTATGCGGCGATGCTTGAACCATAAGGCCAAGTGAATCGCTGTTTTCGCAGGCTTTTGCATTACTTGGATAATTGGGAAGTCACTTACGGCAACTCTTCCGTCTAGGTCGCATTTACCCCTACTACTTCACGACTACCAGTCGTCAGGTCGCAGGCACTTACCAGTCCTCTGTAATCTGACCAGCTGCGTGATCGGCCTTGCTTGTCATCCAGCTCTCGGCGTGTGCTCGCTTCACATTCGAGTACCGTCTCGGCATCGTGCATATACAATTCGACATTCCTTATATCGTCGTGCCTAGTTAGAATCCCTTGACGTATCGTCTGAGAATTCTGAAAACCAGAAAATCCGACATTTCGGATATGGTTGTGCCTGATTAAGATCCCTCGGCGTACCCGCAATCGAGTAAAGGACGATGGACGTATGATGAGCTGAGGTAGCCTTTTTCAGAGTAAATTCTAAGGTTAAGGGCTTCATAATTGATTTAGGATAGAGCGTGTGAGCAGGATAAAACGCTTTACCACCACTTAGGCTAGGGAACCAGCAAACAACCGCATCAGATAGCAGCTTTAGCCGGTATCCCTTCAAGGTGGCTTCTTGATTCGAACCAGGAGGCAGCTAATTGGTTTGCGGGAAGCCGTCCGGTGCAGTCCGGTGCAGTTCGGAGCAGCATGGCCAACGCTCTAGAGGATCTCGAGAAAACCCTCGAGGCGAGTAGCTCGGCACGCTGCTGGTTTCACTGCGCTGTTCTGCCGCTGGCTAGGCGTTCAGGCAACCTGCGGCCTCTTCTTCCTTCCCACCCAAATTACACCCACTACTGACATCAAGTCAAATCAAGCCGCTGTTTTTGTTACCCTCCCTCTCTCCAGACCAGCTCCCAAGTGCATGTATCAGAGCTCCCAAGTGCACCTTTTCTGTCCTTTCGCCCTCCAGACCAGCGCTCATGTGCACATCTCAGGCCTCCACCCCACTTTTGAGGCACCTCAATTGCCGCATTCGCATGTGTGTCCTACCCTCCCTCCATCCCTCTCTCCCTCCAGACCAGCTCTCAGGTGCACATCTCAGGCCTCCACCCCACCATTGACAGCCACCCCCCTGCTCCCACCGCCGCTGCACTCCCCATCCCACCCTCTGCCCGCCCCTCCTCGTCCCTCCGCCTCCTGCCCCTCCCCCTCTCTCTCCGACTCCCCCGCCATCCGCCCCACCATCACCTCCTCTGCCTCCGCCTCTCACTCCTCCCTGCTTAACTCAACATCCTTCTCTCTCAACCGCTCGTCACTGACCTCTCTGATTGGAGCTCACGGCAAGGAGCCGTTCCTTATTGGTGAGATCCCTTCCCCATGACCTCTCCCCCTCTCCTCCCGACATTGCTCCACGTCCTTCTCTCTCGACCGCTCCACATTGGTGGGTGAAGAGTATTTTTGAGAATTCTTTAAAAATACTCTGTGAACTTATTTTGTACGTACAGCCCCACCCAACCACACCTCGCCCCCCTGCCCGCCTCTCCTCCTCCCCACCCTCGTTCCGCCGCCCACTCCTTCCCTCCTCTTACTCCAGGCGTGTCAGGGGGAACGGCATCGGGCAAGACAACAGTGTGTGAGCAGATCATTCAACAACTGCACGACCACCGGGTGGTGCTGGTGCACCAGGTGAGATGCGGTGGTGTGCGATGCATTGGAAAGACAGGTGGACTGTGGTTGTTGAGTCAAGTCAGCAGTCATTCATTCAGCAGCTGCACGACTACTGGGTGGTGCTGGTGCATCAGATGAGAGGTGGTGCAATGCGGTGCAGCATGTGATGATGTATGGTGGGGTGTGAGATGGGGGAGTGCAGTTCCATGCCGCGCCATGGCGTGCATGTGCCCGACCGAACCCTACTGTATGAGGAGGTTTGAGGCGTCTACTGTACCACATGCAGCCTCTGAGGTGACATGCGTTCTCTTCAAACTCTCTGCTTTCGTGCTTGCTTGCTGACAGACAGGAATCCTTTTGCCGAGAGTTGACAGAGGAGTGTTTCTGGGCATAAGCATGTGCGCTAAGCTGGAAACTCTGCGTGTTCTCACTTGCCTCCCTCCGTGCTTCCATGCTGGCAGGACTCCTTCTACCGGGGGTTGACAGAGGAGGAGCTGAAGCATGCCAGTGAGGGGGTCTTTGGCGCCTCAGAAACCGTGCATGTGGGGAAAGGCATGTTTCTGAAGCGTTTTCTTGCTTTCGTCCGTGCTTGCTTGCTGGCAGGACTCCTTCTACCGAGGGTTGACAGAGGAGGAGCTGAAGCATGCCAGTGACTTTAATTTTGATCATCCTGGTAAGTGCCATGGTTCGCCATGGTGATCATCATAGTTTTGCCCGTCACCATGGCTCACTCAGTTGGGTTTGCATTGGATTACCACTTGTTGCTGCTTGCGGAGCGGTTACCATTGCAATTTGACAGAGGAGGAGCTCAATCATACCATGATTGTCCTACTTCAAATCCAACCGTCCTGGTAACCGCCGCCACCACTGCTGGTTTCCTAAAACCACTGTGAATTGTTTCCTGGTAACCGCCAATTGAAGAACGCCTCACAACCATCACTACCAGTTTCCTGGTGAACATTCTTTGCTTTCCTTTCCACCCCCGTTGCTCTCAAGGAGTGCCGGCGGCCCTATCAGTGGAATGATGGATAATCTTGCAAGCTGCCCTGCCCTGCCATTGTGCCCACCCGCCTCCTTCCCCTGTCCTCCCTTCTTGCCATCTCCCCCCCACCTTCTCCCACTCAGATGCATTTGATACGAACACGTTTTGTCCCATCCTCATTGCTCCAAAGGAGAACCGGTGGATGGATGGATACCTGCAGTGCTATACGCCTTCCTCTGCCCCCGCCTCCAACTCCTGAACCCTCTCAAACCCCCCCCTTCCCCCTCCTCCCTCCTTCCCCCTTCAGACGCCTTTGACATGGACGCACTGCTTTCCAGTTCCAACCATTGTTGCTCTTAAGGAGGGTCGGTCGGTGGAAATCCCCATGTCTGTCTGTCCCCTTCCTGATCCCTCCCCTCCTCCCCTCCTGATCCCTCCCCTCCTCCCCTCTCCCCTTACCTTGTCAGACGCTTTTGACACGGATGCGCTGCTTTCAACCATCGTAGCTCTCAAGGAAGGCCAGTCAGTGGAGATCCCAGTGTATGACTTCAAGACACACCAACGGAGCACGGCCGTGAGGAAGGTGCGTGTTTGGATGGAGGGAAGGTGGTTGCACGGCCGTGTTTGTGCGTGCGTGCCCTCCCTGGTTTCAATCTCAAGGAGGGCCAGTCAGTGGAGATCCCAGTGTATGATTTCAAGACACACCAACGGAGCACGGCTGTGAGGAAGGTGCGTGAGTGGAAGGAGGGTGGGTGTGTGGTATATGACATTATTTTCCTGTGCATTCACCCTCCCTTGGCATTCTCAAGGAGTGGCAATTAGTGGAGATTCCCGTGTATGATTTCAAGACACACCAACGGAGCACGGCTGTGAGGAAGGTGGGTGGATGGGAAATGATTACTGTGGTGGGTAAAGGTTACCGTACGATCATGCTTGCGTATGTATGCGTACTTTCGTGGTTTCACTCTCGAAGGCATTATGGTGTTCCATGATGCCAGGGTGCGAGTGCTGATGAACATGAAGATCCACGTGGATACAAAGGCCGACGTGCACATATGAAATGAACTCATGAACACAGATGCACTCTCATGCACACATAAGGCCTCTGGATACTCACCAAACCCCTCAAACCCCCCCTCTTCCCTTCCTGTCTCCCTCTTTCCCGCCTGCCTCCCCTTCTTCCCCCACCCTTACCCTCCACTGAAACACCCACATCAGACCAACTCTGCTGACGTCATTGTTCTCGAGGGCATCCTAGTGTTCCACGATGCGAGGGTGCGAGCACTGATGAACATGAAGATATTTGTGGATACAGATGCCGACGTGCGATTGGCCAGGAGGATCCGCAGGGACACGCTGGAGCGAGGGCGCGACGTGCAAGGGGTGATTGACCAGGTGTGTGTGTGGTTACAACAAGGGGTGTGACTTTAACGAATGGTGATTGATCAAGTGTAATAAAAATATATATATCATACAACAAGGGGTGATCAGCCTAGTCGGAGGGAGTAGATCTCGAATGTGTGACTAGCGAGGCACGGCGTGCAAAGGGTGATTGACCAGGTGTGATTGTATGAGATTAGGTGTGATTATAACGGGTTTAGGTGTGACTATAAAGAGTTCCGATTGATCGAGTGTGGTTGTAGGGGGGGGGGGGGTTCACCAGGTCTTATTGTAACAGAAGGATCTTGAATATTCCACCAAGGGGTGGTTTACTGATTGACCTGATTATCGCACGCGACCATATTCGGAGACCAAACAGATGGAGACTAGCGCGATTGGCCAGGAAGTCGGCAGCGACACACTGAGGCGATGGCTTAGAGGATATATCTGAGAGCATGAACAATCGGGCTGTCATGTCTGCGGGAGCTCATCATCAGCGAGTGCTGACGTGTTCTCGGCACAGAACCCGAGCAGTTCACCTCATTGACTCGTCTGTGCAGCTTGAGGCTCTCCAGCTGCACATAGTCGTCGGACGCCTGACAACCTTGAGAACATGCCCAACCTGAAGAACGCGACGAGCTCGACCTCGATGTTCTTGACTCATGCAGCCTCCTCAAGTCTCTAGAGATGCTGGTCATACACACTGCATGTCTCTAGTCGAGCTACCGCACCCGTCGGCACTTTCACTGCACTCACGACCCTTTGCCTCGAAGGTTCTCTCTTGCTCACTCTTCCTGTTGAGATTGGAGGTTTGAGGAGCTCTCCAATGCCGTTAGGAAGAGTGAGCAAGGGAAAATCGTTGAGGCAGAGGGTCTTAAGGTGCAGTGAGAGCGCCTAACGGTGCGGTAGCTCGACTAGAGACGTCAGTGTGTAATGACCAGCGTCTTTAGGGACTTGAGGCGGCTGCATGAGTAACGAATCTCGCATCAAGATCGAGCTCGTCCAGCAGGAGCGTTTTCAGTTCAGGTCGGGCATGTCCCCGAGAGGCTTGTCAGGCAGTCCATCGAATGTGCAGCTGGGAGAGCTTCAAGATGCGGAGGCAGGTCAAGGAGGTGACCTGCTCGGGTTGTTCCGTGAAACGTCTGCAGTCGTCCGATGTTGAGCTCCCACAGACACGGCAGCCGATCACATCGTGTTTCTCAGGGGAGATCCTCCAAGTCCTTGGTCCAATCCGCGTGTCCCTGCAGATCGACGTGCAAGGGGTGATTGACCAGGTGCGTGTGATTATCACGAGGGATATTGATCAGGTGTGATTTCCACTTCCATTCCCTGCATTCCAGTATGCTTGCTTTGTGAACCCAGGCTTTATATACCCTTGCACTCCGTTTCCCCTCCATCCTGTCCTGCCTTCCTTTTTTTCTTCCCCTGTACTTTCAATTTTTCCCATTCCTTCCATTTCTTTCCTGTTCCTTTCCTTCTCCTTCCCTTTTTTTCCCATCCCTACGCTTCCATCCCTATCCATCCCTCCCCCTTTCACCCTGTATGCTCCCTCCGCCTTTAAAGCCAGCTTTCTGATGATTTCCTTGCTTAGTTCAAATGAAAATTTGGTGCAGATTCAGAACACAGATCATCTTTCCCTGCCATCCCATCCCGCTCCTTCCTTCTCTTCCCTTTCTCTTCCCTACCTTTCGTCCATCCCCTTCCTTTACTCCAATCCAGTACGCTCGTATTTGTCAAACCAGCCTTCGATGATTTCGTGCTGCCCTCAAAGAAGTTTGCTGACATAATCATTCCCAGGGGAGGAGACACCACGTGGCAGTGAACCTGATAGTGCAGCATATAGGGTCGAAGCTGGGCAGCATGACCTGAGGAAAGATCTACAGCAACGTACACGTTATAGAGTCAACGTTTCAGGTGTGTGGTGCAGTGTGGTGCGGTGGCAGTGCGGTGAGGTGTGGTGCACTTAGGTGTGGTGCGGTGCGGTGCGGTGACAACCACGTGGCAGTGAACCTGATAGTGCAGCATATAGGGTCCAGCTCGGGCAGCATGATCTGAGGAAGATCCTACAGCTAGCGGTGTGGTACACTCTCCATCAACAAGCTAACCAAGCAGCGCAAAGTGCTTTTGTCTTCCTCCTGCGTGCCTCATCCGAATTCCACTTTCGTCCCCTTTTCCCTCATTCCCTCCCCCTGTCCTCTCATCTCATGCACACCACGCTCATGCCGCAACAAAGGGCACTCTTCTGTGGAATGAAAGCACAACATGTATACCTTTCCTGTCTGGCTCATCCACATTCTACATTTATCTCCCCTTACCCGTCTCCATTTCCTCACCCCGCTGCTCTCTAATGCCACCAGGTGCGGGGTATGCACACGCTCATCCGAAACAGGGACTCCAAGAAACAACTCGTCTTCTCCATGCCTCATTCCCTCTGCCCCTCTCTCCCCATCAACCACCCCTCTCTTATGCCACCAGGTGCGGGGTATGCACACACTCATCCGAAACAGGGACACCAAGAAGCCTTTACAGTCGACTCAAGAGTTATCCCCCCTATTCCTTTCCCACAATCCCCACCAGGTGCGGGGCATGCACACGCTCATCCGAAACAGGGACACCAAGAAGCTTTTACAGTCGACCTCAAGAGTTATTCCCCCTATTCCTTTCCCACAATCCCCACCAGGTGCGGGGCATGCACACGCTCATCCGAAACAGGGACACCAAGAAGCACAACTCCGTCTGTTTACATGCCGCATTCCCTCTGCGCTATTCCCCCCCCCCCGTAACCCCGTCTCTCTAATGCACCAGGTGCGGGTATGCACACCCTCATTCGCAACAGGGACACCAAGAAGCACAACTTTGTCTTTTACATGCCGCATTCCCTCTGCCGCTATCCCCCCCCCCCGCAACCCCGTCTCTCTAATGCCACCAGGTGCGGGGTATGCACACCCTCATTCGCAACAGGGACACAAAGAAGCACAACTTTGTCGTTTACATGCTTCATTCCCTCTGCTGCTATATCCCCCCCCGCAACCCCGTCTCTCTAATGCCACCAGGTGCGGGGTATGCACACCCTCATTTGCAACAGGGACACGAAGAAGCACAACTTTGTCTTTTACATGCTTCATTCCCTCTGCTGCTATTCCCCCCCCGCAACCCCGTCTCTCTAATGCCACCAGGTGCGGGGTATGCACACCCTCATTCGCAACAGGGACACGAAGAAGCACAACTTTGTCTTTTACGCCCGACCGCCTCATTCGCCTCGTGAGTCCCTCTCTCTCTAGTCTTTTCGTTACAGGCAATGCACTCACTCACCCATGCCACTCCACACCGCACACCACCCATCTCATGCTCTCTCTCATCTCATCCATGCCACCAAGAAGCACAACTTTGTCTTCTATGCCGACCGTCTGATTCGGCTCGTAAATTGCATTCGCCTCGGACGTCCCTTTGGGGTCCACGTGTCATGGAGCTGTTACTTTTAAGAATTCTCAATGCTCACAAGAGGTTTTTGTACCACCTCCCTGTCACAGTCATTTTTCTCCCATGGTCTCAAGTTTTTTTCCCTCCTTGTTCTCCTCTTCCCTCCTCTCTTTCCTACCACTTCCCCTCGTCTTTCTCTCCTCGTCCCCTTCTTCTTCTTCCCAATCACTCCCATATGCTGGTGGAGCATGGGCTGGCCTGCTTCCCTTTCACAATTCCAATAGTCTCATATTTGCTTCCCACCTCCTCCCCTCCTCTTCCCCTCCTCTTCGCCTCCTCCTCCCCTCCTCTTCGCCTCTTCTTCCCCTCCTCTTCCCCTCCACTTTCCTTCCTCTTTCCCTCCTCTTTTCCTCCACTTCCCGTCCTCTTTCCTTCCTCTTTCGCTTCCTCCCCCCCATCACCACCATCAGCTCGTGGAGCATGGGCTAGGCCACCTTCCTTTCACTGAAATTCAAGTCACCACCCCGACGGGTGAGTAGCACTGGATTGTCACAGCTGCACCTACTCGCCCTCTATTCAACCCACCCCACTTTTCAACCAAGGTGACTTTTAAGTCGACTCAAAAGTCACCTAGTCGACTCAAAAGTCACCTAGTCGACTCAAAAGTCCTTAGCCGACTCAAAAGTCCTTAGTCGACTCAAAAGTCCCTAGTCGACTCAAACGGCACCGAATTGTCACAGCTGCACCTACTCGCCTTCTATTTCAACCCACCCCACTTTTCAACCGAGGTGACTTTTAAGTTGACTCAAAAGTCACCTAGTCGACTCAAAAGTCCTTAGTCGACTCAAAAGTCACCTAGTCGACTCAAAAGTCCTTAGTCGACTCAAAAGTCACCTAGTCGACTCAAAAGTCCTTAGCCGACTCAAAAGTCTCTAGTCGACTCAAAAGTCCTTAGCCGACTCAAAAGTCCTTAGTCGACTCAAAGTCCTTAGCCGACTCAAAAGTCCTTGGTCGACTCAAAAGTCCCTAGTCGACTCAAACGGCACCGAATTGTCACAGCTGCACCTACTCGCCTTCTATTTCAAACCCACCCCACTTTTCAAACGCCTTTGTCTCAGATGCAATTGAAGTGACCGCCCCTACAGCTTTGAGATATTCCTGGGCATTTCGGGAAGAGACACCATAGGAGCAGCTCTTACATCTTAGGCGTAGGCTAGGTCTTGCCGTCCCATTCTCTTCCCAACCTTCCCCTCCCTATCCACATGCAGGCTCAACATATGTGGGTATCAACTTTAGCAAGAAGCTATGCGGAGTGTCCATAATTCGCAGGTAGGTATTTCCTACTTGTATAGGGAGTGTTGGGTGTTAGGCATTTTTCGTTATGCTGAAGTATGTGATTGTGTCTGTGTTTATGATTTCTCTGTGGAGTGTCCACTTTTCAAAGGTATGGCGTACGGGGTGTGTGTGTGTGTGTGGGATGCGAGGCATGCTTTGTGTTTCTCGTCCCTTGTGCATATGTGTCTATTTTTGCCCCACGTGTAGTGAGTCTATTTTTGAGTCGACTCAAAAATAGACTCGCTATGTTTGCCCCATCCTCCCTTTTGCACTGGCAAGCGCATGTAGGACGAGCGTGCTCCAGGGAATGTAAGATCCTCTGTCTGTCCCATATACCCTTCCTATTGGGCGTATCTGAATGAACCATGTCTGCTTCTGCCCGAGTTTTGAGACGTCTCAAAACTCGAAAAACTCGCTTCTTTTGAGACGTCTCAAAACATGATGATCCCCTGTCCCATACACCCTCCCTATTGGGCGTATCTGAATGAAACCATGTCTGCTTGTGCCCCTCCTTGTACCCCCCTTCTTTCATCCCATGGCACGGCAGTGGCGAGAGCATGGAGAATGCGTTAAGAGCATGCTGCAAGGGAGTGAAGATTGGGAAGATATTGATTCACAGAGAGGGGGACTATGGCAAGCAGGTAAGGATTGGATTTTCAATCCTGTCGAGTATGTGTGTGGGTGCATGCATGTGTGCATCACTCGTTTGTTTTTTCATGCTGCATGGGAGGGGTGCCTACAGCAAGCAGGTGAGGCGCAAACCACCCCTATTCCTCCCTCCCTCTCTCTCCTCTCTGTTTCCCTGCTCTCGTTTGTATGCATATGCATGCATACACCGGTGGTGCCTTTTGCGCAACATGTTGATGCTGACGTGAATCGTTCCGAATCGGTGGCAATTTTGAAGGGAGTGAAGATGGACAGAACACCCATCCACAGGGATGGCGACTTTGCAAGCAGGTGAGGCTTCTTTGCCTTCTATGATGTGTGTGTGCGCACTGTGCATTTTGCATTGTATGTGCATTCTCTTAAGCATTAGTGTGATATCACCTTGCCTCGCCCCCTGTGCTGAAAGGGAGTGAAGATGGGCAGAACACCCATCCACAGGGATGGCGACTTTGGCAAGCAGGTGAGGCTTCTTTGCCTTCTGTACAAGCCATTCAGCATGTGTGTACAGAAATTGACAGACAGACCATTCCCATCTCAAATGTCCTAAACCCATCTAGAAACAAACCTCACTTTTAAAATGGGCTTGGGAAGCAGGTGAGGCATCTTCCCTCTCTGAATTTTGAGTCGACTCGAAAAGTCAGAAGTCAACTTTTGAGTCGACTAAAATGTCAGGGGGTGAGGCATCTTCGCTCTTTGCTCATCGCAGCTCCTAGTTTATTCCACTTCGACATGTGTGTGCTATAAGTGCATTATGTGTGTCGCTTTCTCCCTTGCTGCTCATGCTCCCTCTCCCCCTTCACCTCCCCTTCTCCCTTCCCCACCAGCTCATACACAAGGAGTTTCCCAGGGACATCTCCCAGAGGCATTCTTTCTCCCCCTTCCTCACATCTTTGCTCCCTCACTCCCCATACTCCACCTCCCCCATCCCCTTTCTGCAATCTTCCGCCAGCTCATACACGAGAAGCCCCCCCGAGACATCATCTCACAGAGGCATTCTTTCACCTTGTTTATCTTACCTCCCCTCCTTGCTCCCCATGCTCTCTACCCCTCCTCTTCCCCCTTTCCATCCCCGCCAGCTGATATACGAGAAGCTCCCCGGGACATCGCCCAGAGGCATGTCATGCTGCTCGACCCTGTGCTGGCGTCAGGTGAGGCTTTACCCCCCTCCCTCCTCGCCTGGCACGTGATGCTGCTGGGCCCGGTGCTCTCCTCAGATAAGCACCCTTATCCCGGTACTACTTACTACTTACTGCTTACTAGTTCCTATTTAGTGCTTACTCGTTACTACTTACAGCTTACTGCCAATCAAGTGACCTATACACTGCCCTTCGATCTTATTAAAGTGCTGCTTTGCTTGGCCTTCTGCCTTGATTTCACCCCTCTCCATCAGGCCGCTCTGCCATGAAGGCTATCGAGCTGCTGTTGCACCGAGGGGTGGTAGAGATGGGACTGAACCTTCATGCTTACGCTCCGCATCCTTTGCCTTGATTCCGATCCCCCTTATTCTCCTATTCCCCCTATTCGCTCTCCCCTCCAGGCCGCTCTGCCATCAAGGCTATCGAGCTGCTGCTGCACCGAGGGGTGCCTGAGGAGCGAATCATCTTCCTCAACCTCATCTCGGTAAGTTCATGATTAGAAGGGGGGCAGAATCATATTCCTCAACTCATTCCAGTGAGTTTATGAGGAGCGCAGAGCGGTATTTAGTGGTGCAGGATATTATCAGCTGGGTTATTCTTCATCCGAGCTGCTGCTGCAACAGAAGGGTGCCTGACGAGCAAACCATTTTCCTCAACCTCATCTCGGTGAGCTCATGACTTCAAGGGATTAAGAACGGTACTTGGTGGTGAAGAGAACAACCAGTTGGGTTCTTGCTCACCACAGCTGCTGCAAGCAGGGGTGCGTGACGAGCAAAGCATGTTCTTCAACCTCACCAGTGAGTGTAATAAGCGAATTACAGAGCGGTAATTAGTGGTGAAGAGGGTTATCATCTTGGACATTCCTTACCCCTGCTCCCTTTCTATCTTCCCTGCTCTAACCTCCCTCCCCAGGCCCTGAGGGCATTCACAAAGTGTGTCGGTGCTTCCACCACCTCATTAGTTCATTTCCATGTTCCATCTTTCACCTTACCTTTCCCCCCATGCTCCTTCACACCCATCCTTCCCTCCCCCAGGCCCCAGAGGGCATTCACAAAGTGTGTCGGTGCTTCCACCACCTCAAGATCGCCATGCCTTCCCATTTACCTTTCCTGCTCCCACCCACCCTTCTCTCTGCTCCTTCTTCGCCTGTTGCAAACCTCCATCCTCCCGCCAGGCACCGGAGGGCATTCACAATGTGTGCCGCCGCTTCCCCCACCTCAGCGTCCCTGTGTCTTGTTCTTTCTCTGCCCTTCCATTGCTCGCCTCCTCTTCGCGCCCCTTCCATTCCCTACACCCCCACCACTCCTCCCCCCCCCCAAGGCTCCGGAGGGCATTCACAATGTGTGCCGCCGCTTCCGCCACCTCAAGGTCCTTACTCATCTTTGTTCTTTCTCCTGCCTTCCCTGCACCCACCCATCCTTCCCTCCCCCAGCCCCCGGAGGGCATTCACAATGTGTGCCGCCGCTTCTGCCACCTCAAGGTCCATACTCATCTCTGTTCTTTCTCCTGCCTTCCCTGCACCCACCCATCCTTCCCTCCCCCAGCCCCCGGAGGGCATTCACAATGTGTGCCGCCGCTTCCGCCACCTCAAGGTCCATACTCATCTTTGTTCTTTCTCCTGCCTTCCCTGCACCCACCCATCCTTCCCTCCCCCAGCCCCCGGAGGGCATTCACAATGTGTGCCGCCGCTTCCGCCACCTCAAGGTCCATACTCATCTTTGTTCTTTCTCCTGCCTTCCCTGCACCCACCCATCCTTCCCTCCCCCAGCCCCCGGAGGGCATTCACAATGTGTGCCGCCGCTTCCGCCACCTCAAGGTCCATACTCATCTTTGTTCTTTCTCCTGCCTTCCCTGCACCCACCCATCCTTCCCTCCCCCAGCCCCCTGAGGGCATTCACAATGGTTTTGAGACGTCTCAAAAACAACCTCGCTGCACGTTGCCGCCGCTTCCCCCCACCTCAAGATAGTGACATCGGAGATCGATTCGGGGTTTAATGAGGAGTATCGAGCAGGGTAGGGGTGGGGGTTTGGCGTGGGGAGTAATGAGGAGTGCAGAGTGGTGTCAGCACCTCCCTCACCTTGCGATCCCTGTGTCTTTTTTCCCTCGCCGCCCATCCATTGCTCGCCTCTACCTGTTACTGTGCCCCACCCAACCCCTCCTTCAGGCCCCGGAGGGCATTCACAACGTGTGCCGCCGCTTCCCCCACCTCAAGATCGTGACATCGGAAATCGACTCGGGGATTAACGAGGAGTACAGAGTGGTGCCAGGAATGGGGGAGTTTGGGGACCGGTACTTTGGTACAGAGGAGGGGGATGCTGGGAGGGATGATGAGAGGGATGGTGATGGTGACGCTTTTGAGGCGTCTTGATGTGTGGGGAGGGGTGGGAGGTTGTTGCGGGGATTGAGGAGGAGTTGAGAGTTGTGCCTGGGATGGGGGAGTTCGGAGACAGGGATGGGGAGTTCGGAGACAGGGATGGGGAGTTCGGAGACGGAGATGGGGGAGTTCGGAGACAGGGATGGGGGAGTTCGGAGACAGGGGGGAGTTCGGAGACAGGGATGGGGGAGTTCGGAGACAGGGATGGGGGAGTTCGGAGACAGGGATGGGGGAGTTCGGAGACAGGGATGGGGGAGTTCGGAGACGGGGATGGGGGAGTTCGGAGACAGGGATGGGGGAGTTCGGAGACAGGGATGGGGGAGTTCGGAGACAGGGATGGGGGAGTTCGGAGACAGGGGGGAGTTCGGAGACAGGGATGGGGGAGTTCGGAGACAGGGATGGGGGAGTTCGGAGACAGGGATGGGGGAGTTCGGAGACAGGGATGGGGGAGTTCGGAGACAGGGATGGGGGAGTTCGGAGACAGAAATGGGGGAGTTCGGGGACAGGGGATGGGGGAGTTCGGAGACAGGTACTTTGGCACAGAGGAGGGGGATGATGGGAGGGTTGATGATGGGGATGGGGATGGGGATGGGGATGGGGATGGGGATGGGGATGGTGATGGTGACGGTGATGGTGATGGCGATGGTGATGGCAGGCAATGCTTTTGAGCTTGGTGAGGAGCGACGAAGGAGGGGAGGGAGAGGAGAAATGTGGAGCCCTTGTTGCTTCCAATGCTGCTGTGGCTGTTAGTGCTGCCAGTGCCAGTAATACCGGTAGTCCCGGTTTTAACCATTGGGACAGCATAAACATGATTTGTTCAACAGGAAAAATAAACGAAAGCTGTTGTCCTATCATATGGTAGTAGCTTATCCATCGCTGTCAACTGGGAATGTGCTTTCCCTAAAGGCCCGGTGGTCAGTCAGACCATGTCTTGCACAGTCATACATACGTCAGGTTGAACAAACAAGAAATAAATTAACGAGCAATCAAAACCGAGCATATCATTGAAAAGCTGTTACGAGTGCAATTGAGTGAACGAGTGAGAATTGCACTATCGAAGCAAGAGTCCAATGGGCGAAGGTATGAGCGAAGAATATATAGCGAAACTACAGTGGTAACGGTAATGGTCGCGCGACGAGCCTGGGACTGAGGTTGGGAACGTGTCGAAGCGTAGGCCCGGAGCGCGGGTTACCAGCCGAGCCGTGAGGTCGGGATGCGATGTGCGAAAATGGCGGGATGATGAATGATGCGATGGTTGTGAGTGGTAACGGTGCTGACTGAGGTGCTACAGTGATGTACGCGTTGAGCAGAGATGCGAAGTAAGGAAAAGGGAATTTCCTTACACTACCCCCCCCTCCTAAAAGGTCCTCCTTACGAAAGCGCGAGGGCGTCTTTGAAGTTTCGGCTGCGTAGATAGTCGGTGACGACAGGGTGGTTTTCAATTCTGTCCAGGGGAACCCAGTTGTCCTCGGTGGGTGTACGATCTTTCCAGCGAATCAGAAACTCAACTTTTCGGGCCCCTCGAGGGTCGCGAACTCTGTGGCTCAAGATTTTGTCGGGGGTGATGACTGGTTCGGTTGGTGGTCGTGACATGCTGGATGGTCGATGTCGTGGGAGTTGGCTGGTGGATGGTACGTAAGGGCGAAGCAGGCTGACGTGGAACGAGGGGCTGACGTACCAGTCAGCAGGAAGGAGGAGGTGCGCGGTGACAGGTGTGATCATGTGACTGATTCGAAATGGCCCACAGTATCGAGGGCGGAGTTTGGGAGTGATGGGCAGGCGGAGGTTCTGAGTGTCGAGTAAAACGAGGTCGTCGGACTGATAAGTGACGGGTCCTGCGGTGGCGATCGGCGTTGCGTTTAGCGATGATATTTTGATTTTTTAATTGCTTCTGCTGCCCTGGTCCGTGCTGCTTGCAAAATCTCGGCGAACTGTTGTGCGCGTGGAACGGGATTGTCGGGGTTTGGTGTCATGGGTACTGTTGGGTTATGTCCGTAATTCAAGTAGAATGGCGACTGTTGGGTCGTGGCAGATGGCGCGTTGTTGTATGCGAACTCGATGAGAGGCAGCTGCTGCTCCCACGTGTTTGGATCGTCACACGTGGCTCGAATGAGTTGCTCCATAGTCTGGTTTGTCCGTTCTGTCTGTCCGTCGGTTTCGGGGTGATACGATGAACTGAATTGAAGTCGCGTGCCGAACTGCTGCCACAGGTTCCGCCAGAAATTACTGGTAAACTTCGTGTCCCTGTCGCTGATGATTCACGCTGGTATCCCGTGCAGTCGAACGACGGTGGCGATGAAGAGTCGGGCTGTTTCCTCGGCTGTGATTGATTTCGTGCATGCTGCGAAATGTGCCATTTTCGTTAGTCGATCGACGACGACCAGGATCGCGTCATTCCCACTCGCCCCGGCCGGTAACCCCGTGACGAAGTCCATCGTCACCTGCTACCAAGCACGCTCTGGAGGTGGGATTGGTTGTAATTGTCCTGCCGGCCGCTTCCTGGTTGACTTCATGAGTTGGCAAGTGGGACACGATGCCACGTGTCGTTGCACGTCGGTCAACATTTCCGGCCAGTAATAGTACCGCTGCAGCTGCTGCCGTGTTTTTTCTACTCCGAAATGTCCCGAGGTAACTCCGTCGTGTGCCTCCTGTAACAGTAGTTCCCGTAGTAGCGTGTACCCTGGTACCCAGATGCGGTCGGATCCAGCTTTTACGTAATAGGCTCCCTTGGCTGCTGCGAATTGCTGTGAATTTCCTCCTGTGAAGAATGGGTCTGTTTGATATCCGTGGGTAAATAGTCCTGTCAGTAACGGGCTGGTCTGGGCGAGTAGTATCGCATGTATTTGGGCAGTGGGGCGGGTCAGTGCGCCGGCGATATTCGAGGCTCCTTTTTTATATGTGACCGTATAGTGGAAATTCGATTCGAGGAAGTCGAGCCACCGAATCTGTCGTGGGTTGAGGTGGGGCTGTGCGAGAAGGTACTGTAGGGATCGATGGTCTGTCCGTACTGTCACGTCTGCGCCGGTCAAGTAGCAACGCCACACTTTGAATGCATGCACGATCGCGAGCATTTCGCGGTCGTGTATCGGGTAATTTCGCTCAGGTGGATGTTGCTTGCGTGATTCGTAGGCGATGGGTTGGAGGCCGTTGCCGAAGTCCTGTAACAGTACGGCTCCGATGGCGATGTCACTCGCGTCTGTAACAACTTCGAAGGGGCGGTGTGGGTCAGCGATGCGTAGGACGGGTGGTGAACAGAGAACATTTTTCAGGGCAGAGAAGGCAGCATGCTCTTTCTCCCCCCACGTAAAAAGGGACCCCCTTACGCAGTAAATCAGTGAGCGGGGCTGTTAAGCGTGCCATGTCGGGGACGAACCGACGAACGTAATTAACAAACCCTAAAAAACTCTGTAGTTCCGTGATGTTCGTCGGGGATGCCACGCTTTTACGGTATCCAGCTTCTTAGGGTCTATCTCAACCCCAGCCTCCGAAATGACGTGACCTAAAAACTCTAGCCTGTCCCGAAAAAACTCGCACTTGGAGCCCTTGGTGAGTAACCGATGTGCCTCTAAATATTAAAAACTGCTTCGAGATCTACTAAGTGCTGCTGCTGGTCCCGACTGTAAACGAGGATGTCGTCGAGGTAAACTATAACGCATTTATCTAAAAGTGGCCTAAACGCCTCGTTCATGGTCATCTGAAATGTTGCAGGCGCGTTGGTCAGCCCGAAAGGCATCACCGTGTACTCGAATGACCCGTACCTAGTCCTAAATGCTGTCTTGGCGCAGTCCGATGGTTCGACCCGAATTTGATGGTAACCTCCCCGTAAGTCTATTTTCGAAAATAATCGTGCGGTTCGCAGCTGGTCGATCAGTTCGTCGGCGCGGGGGATGGGGTATCGTGATTTTACTGTTATCCTGTTAAGCGCTCGGTAGTCGATGCACATGCGAAACCCCCCGTCTTTTTTCGGTGTGAACAGTATCGGTGCGGCGAACGGTGACGAGCTCGGTCGGATAAACTGCTTCTCTAACAGGTAATCTAACTGCTTCCTTAGCTCGTCGAGCTCGGGCTGTGTCAGTCGAAATTGGCGCTGTACAGTTGGCTGTGCCCCCGGTTCTAACTCGATCCTATGGTCATGCGCCCGCTGAGGTGGCAGCCCTTGCGGTAAGTCATCCGGAAAGATACCCGGGAACCGTTTCAGTAGTGCCTGTAGTTCGGGTGGTACGGCTGCCAACAGTTTCTGCAAATCACTCGGCCGGTCCTCTTTTTCCACTAATGCGATATCCACTGCGTACACGTCAGCTCCAGCAGCGACAGCCCGTTTCATCGTGATGGCGTTGACCTGGACCGTCGAAGACTCGGGTGGCTGCTAGCGAGGTAGGACGACCCAGTTACCACTACTTCGCACTGTGCAGCTCCCCGTCGTCCAGTCAATTCGTGGGTTATACCGTCGCAGCCAATCACGTCCCAATAAAATGTCGTGCCCATCCAGTGTCGTTGCGAGCATTTCCTGTGTAAACCCGAAGTTCCCTCCGCAGCGGACCTTTACTCTCTCCACCTTTTCCCGTATAGCCAGCGGCGTGCCGTCGACTAAGCGTGCATCTATCTCAGGTAAGCATCGGTTAAGTGTTAACTGTAATTTCCGTGCGGTTGCGGTATTAACTTAGCTGTGACTTGCTCCTCCGTCAATAAAAATCTTCACTGCTGCTCCCTGTATTTTCCCGTAGATTAGTACCGGGCAATCCATCGCTGTACCCTCCTTATTCATCCGAGCCCGATCGATGGCATGAATCGGTACTGTGACTCGGTGAGGGTCGGTGTGGTTGGGCGAGCAGGCAGTCTCGTCAGTAGTTGGCCCAACTTCTACTGACTGCTGGCGTTTCCCTGCCTCTGAGACTCCCTCCCCTGCTCTGCTCCTCGGCGCCTCAGCTCCTCTGGGCATTCGCTCTTGCGATGGCCCGGCCTGTTGCAAGCAAAGCAGCGCCCCTTAAACGGTGCGGCAGCTGCATTCGTTGCGACGGCGTGTACAGTGGCATGCTCGGTCGGTCCCCGAGGACGATGTCCGTAATAGGACCCCAGTCTCGGTCGACGTAGAATGTCGATCTTCTCGGCGAGCGCGAGAATCTCGTTGAAGTTAGAGAGTCCGCGCAGCATTATCTCGTGCGAGATGTCCGGCTTCAGCCCTCCGACGTAACGGTCCACCCGCTCCGCTTCGTGCATGTAGCCGACCTGCTCGCAAAGTGCGAGAAAACCGCTGGTATAGTCTTGAACTGACCCGAGCTGGCGCCAAGTGCGCAGTTTCTGACGCGCCGAAATTGAAGCCGCGATCGGCTCAAAACGCGCCCGAAGTCCTGGGCACCACGCATCCCACGTGCTGTATTGGGCGGTCTCGCAGAACGAACTCCAGGTGACAGCTGGACCCGAGGGCCCTTCCTCGTGCGACGGTGGCTCGTTGGCGCGTGGCGACGTCACGATGACTCGCCACAAGTCCATGGCGGGGCCTCTTAGCAGTGAAACCGCATACCGGATCTTTGCGGCGTCCGACTCGACGTAATTGGCGTCGAAGAAAACGTTCATCGTGAAGACCCACGATTGAACTGTCGGACCGCCGCGTTGACTTGGGTCGAAGCAGGGCGGGCGTTGCGGCTTGAGCGGCATTGGTGCCATGTTG